ATCATTTAACATTCTGCCTAAAGCATCCTTGATTGTAGCAACTCGAGGTTTGAATTTGTTCTTCAGTTCCTTGAGCTTAAGAAATGCTGAACGAGTTCGGCCCTTTTGATTTTCTGACTCTAGCTCCTCTCACATTTCATTGTAATATTTTGCTTAACGTTTGGCATAAATAGGCTTGGAAATAATAGTCACGAATACAGAAACAGGAGAAGGTAAAACAGCTAGATGGAACCTACTAAAACTTAAATCCCTTTGTGCATCAAAACATTTTATCAATACAGTGAAAAGAAAACTCAGCAGACTGGAAAAAAAACATTTGGCAATGATGTTACAGATAAGGGTCTCATAACTAAAGTTTATATAGGGCATCCTCAAGAAAAAATGGGCAAAAGGCATAAAATGACTATTTATAAAAGAGGATATTTGAATAGCCAATGAACATATGAAGAAATGTTCAAAGTCACTAGCAATCAGAGAGATGCAAATCAAAACAACCGTAAATTACTATTTCACCCCATTAGCGATTGCAGAGTTTAACAAGACAACAAGTGAATTTTGAGAGGATGCAGAGAGATTGGAACTCTTATGCATTGCTCTTGGAACTGTAAAATGATACAACCACTATAGCAGACAGTTTGGCATTTCCTCAGAAAGCTGAACCTAGAAATCCCATATGATCCAGCCATTCCGCTGTTGGGAATACATCTCAAGGAGATCAGAGCTGAGACACAAACAGAGATAAGTACACTTATGCTTACAACAATGTTATTCCCAGTAGCAGCAAAATGGTAACAGCTCAAATGCCCATCAGAAAAACGGGTCTTATCAGAAAGTGGAATACTATGCTGCACTAAAGAACAAAGAGCTATTTGTAAAGTATAACACATCTTGAGAGAGTGTAGAAGGCATTAATGTTGAGTGAAATAACTGTCAAAATGGACAAATACACATAATCTCCCTGGGCTCCAAATCAGATAGAGGAAATGGGACTCCTTCCCGTACTCCCCCTCTCCCCCCAACCCCCCAGCTAAATTCTCATTGCAGATCTCTAAAATTCTGCAGCCGCAAGCTTCACTTCAGCAAGCCAGGGTTGGAGAAAAATAGACCTGTGAAGTCACACGTGTGAAGACGACATGTTGTTTTTCAGAGCCCTGATGTTGTTTGTGCTGCACTTGGCAGCAGTAACCTAGGAGAGTTGATGACTCTATTTTGACTCAATAGACCAGGCGTTTTGAATGTTGTATCTCAAAGCAAACAAAAATCCTCACAACAGGATCAATAAGTAAGATCCTGATAAACACAAAAAAGACTGAAGTCATCACGGATTTAATTTTACTTGGTGACTGTCATGATTCACCACCAGTACCCACAGAAATTGCAGTCAAATTAAAGGGTATTGAGCAAATGTGCTGTAAAAGTTTTCTTGAAAGTGTGTAAAAGGAAAGATGTCATTCTGAGCGCTAAGGTAGCCTGACCTAAGTTGTAGTATTTTCAGTCACTTCATGTGCACAGGAAAGCTGGGTAATGAATAAGGAAGCGCAAAGAATTGATGCACTTGAATTACAGTATTGTTGTAGATACTGAAAATACCATGGACTGACATAACAATGAACCAATTTGTCTTGGAAGAAGTATAATAAGAAGGCTCCTTAGAAGTAAAACAATGAAAGAATTTTTCTTTTACTTTTCAAAGAGGGGAGTGTACTGTGGGGGGGAGGAGTGGGCGGGGAGAAGTGCAACAATGAATGAATGAAAATCCAAAGTCTCTGTAAATTTTCATTGAAATTAATAATAAAAAATTTTTTAAAATGGACAAATACTATATATTACTGCTGTTGTGTTAATGGGAGGGTAGTTGATGGGTGGCAAGTGAGGGAAGGGGAAGAATTGAAATCTAATGGGTAGACAAAGAACGTTACAAAACAGAGAGGATCAGTTATGTGTGTGTGTGTGTGTGTGTGTGTGTGTGTGTGTGTGTGGTTGTTATGTGCTGCTGAGTCGCTTGCAACTCATAGGGACGCTATGTACAAGAGCCCTATACTCTGCTCTATGCTGTTCCAACCTCATTGTCTCCGACAGACATACTCCCACTACCCCAATTCATTGAATCGATCCATCTCATCGAGTGTCTTCCTCTCCTGTACCATCCCTCCACTCTCCCAAACATGATGTCCCTGTCCAAGGTCCCTCCTTGCAACATGCCAAAAGTATGTTAGACAAAGCTTCAGAATCCTTGCCTCCAAGCAACAGCCGAGCTTCACCCTCTCCAGGACAAAACTGTTTGTTCTCCTA